TCTTCCCTACCTGTTCCCATCCCTACCTGTCCCAATCCCACCCCTACCTGCCCCATTCCCATGACACCAGCCCTGTCCAACTGGCACCTGCTCCTCTGTCCCATCCTGGTCTCACTGGTACCTTCATCCTTCTGCCCATTCTCCATCCTCTCTTCCCTTTTTCCATTCCTTTTCCACATTCTCCAACCCATTTCTACCTGCTCTCTCCCCACTGCCCTTTCTCCATCCTCTTTTCTACCTTCTCCAGCCCCTCTTCCCCTTTTCCCATTCTCTCTTCCCTTTCCTTATCCCATCCTTAACTGCTCCATTCCCTCTTCTCATTCTCCATCCCCTCTTCCCCTTCACCCACTCTGTGCCTTCTCCATGCCTTCTCCCCCTGCCCCATCCCTGTTGCCCCTTCCCCATCCCTTCTTCCCTTTCCCAAACCCTTTTCCACCTTCTCCATCCCTTTTCCCCCTTTCCCATCCCTGTTGCCCCTTCTCCATCCCTTCTTCTCCTTCCCAAACCATTTTCCACTTTCTCCCTCCCTTTTCCCCCTTTCCCATCCCTGTTGCCCCTTCCCCATCCCTTCTTCCCTTTCCCAAACCCTTTTCCACTTTCTCCCTCCCTTTTCCCCCTTTCCCATCCCTGTTGCCCCTTCCTCACCCCTTCTTCCCTTTCCCAAACCCGTTTCCACCTTCTCCATCCCTTTTCCTCCTTTCCCATCCCTGTTCCCCCCCTCCCTCTCCTTTCCTACCCCCATCCCTATCCTAAGCCAAAGCCAGAGCTCAGTTCCCCCCTACTCTCCCCATTCCCACCCAGAGAAGGGATCGGGGTGCAAGGGGGGCCAGGGACTGGGAARGACACAGGGGGCACCACCCAGGGGTGACCCCAAATTCTCTCAGGAAACCAGGGATGGAGTTGGGGTACCCAGAAACCCCCCTGCACCCCAAAATCAGGACACCTCTGTGCCATGGGTTTGGGGCAACYCTGCCCTCCAATATTGGGACAACCCCATCATGTGAGATCAGAACATTCTTACACCCCAAAATGAGGTCATCCCATTCCATGGGATTGGGACATCCCCGCACCCCAACATTGAAGAACTACCATTCCATGAGATRGGGACAACACTGCAMCCCCAAATTGGGATATCCTCATGCCATAGGGCTGGGACAACCCTGCACCCCAATATTGAATAACTACCATTCCATGAGATGGGGACAACCCTGCACCCCAATATTGGGGCACTCCATGCCACAAGATTAGGACAAACCTGCACCCCCTAATCAGGTGATATTGATCCTGAACTCTGGGATTGTGGTGCCGTCGTATCCTGGGATTCCATTCCCCATACTCCAGGATCAGGGTACCCCATTCCATGGGACTGGGATACCCCCACATCCCTGGGACACCCCKAGATCCTGGAATTGGTGCACCCCCATGCAATAGGAATGGGACACCCCCATATCCTGGGGCACAGGAAATGGGAATGCCTTGGAATTGGGGTACCCACACAATGGGAATGGGAACAGGACATTCTCACATCCCTGGGTCCCCCACTTACCCTGGAATTGGGGTACC